CTGAAGTTCAGGAATGTCAAGCAACATCACCAAGCTCCCAGGAAAAACTTCAAACAGTCTGCCTTAATTTATAGTCTGCAATCCAGTTTCAGGGAACTCCAGAGGGATTCCAGTCTCCGAGGGTACTTGCTAAAATCCTCAGCTGCTTTCTGCTGATTGAATATTGTAATTTTTTATTCTGGCTATTTAAGAATATGAGTGCTTGTGCAAGTGTGTGTGTGTGTGTGTGTGGTGTGTGTGTGTGTGTGGTGTGGTGGTAGTGGTGGGGTGATGGTGATGGCTGTAATCAACAGCACCATAAGCAAAGATGCAGAACTGGGACTAGGAGTGATCACTACTAACATCACATGGGTTTTAGAACTTAAAGCAGGTCTTAAAATACATAGCTTTTTTGCTAAATATGACCTCACCACGTATTAAAGAAAACAAAATAAATTATATCAGAAACTCTGAATGAAGTTTCACCTGGCCAATCAGCAGTTTACCTGAAATTTGCAAAGAGACAGTGCCATCTTTTGCTTAAAAGGAACCTCTTTTTAAAACGTGGTTGAAATAGATGAATTGCCTGGCTTATGGAAACACAGCTACTTTATTATAGTCATGACCAAGTGAGGAAAATTATTATTTCATACTGGACCAATGAGACCAAATTATTTAAGGCTTTGGTATGTTTTCAATTACAAGGCTATGTTATGACAGTAGTTTGGCACTACAACAAAGGCAGCTGGGTGGGATCTGAATCTGGAAGATTCTCTGTGCTGGCTACATGTGTAATCACAAATTTAAGTCAGGTGTTGAACAAATACTGAATTTCATCTGTTGCTCAGGTTGGTTTTAACCTTCAACCTCGTGATCCTCCTGCCTCAACCTCTTGAGTGGCTGGATTACAGGCACATGCTCCGACACTCTGCTGAATTCCATCAGTGCTTAAGCATGTTTTCTTTCCTCCCACACTCAACAGCTTAACAATTATACTGTATAGTGCATCAGATGTCTTCATCCAGTGATGGTTACCCAAGCAACAGTTGTGACTAAGTTGTTTTTGCAGGAGCTTTCATGAACTTGGTCATAGCCCTGCAACACTTCTATTGAGTTATGGGTATTTCTAGCCATATATTTTTGTTTAATTGCCATTTAAAATGTCTTTTGAAGATTGTCCTGTGATTTGGCATAACAAAATTTATCACTTATGGGAATAGGTGTAAAGACAGAACAGTGGATTTTAAATTTGTTTTGATGAAGTAAATACGGATTGCTAGAGGAATGACAACTCCATGTGTCCCTGCAAAGTAACCAAACAATTTACAATTACTGAAAATGTGGATAGTTTTGAGTAGTGTTAAACTCAGTTAAGTATGGCCTCAATTTGTCTCCACACTTAGGTACTAAAGTTTTATCCAGAGTGGGCTCTGTACATTGTGAACTGTACCCAAGTTTGATGTGTACAAGAATTGTATCCTAACTTAAAAGTGTATTCTTGTAACAGAGCAACCAAATCTCAGCTAATCACAAACTGCCAACTGATCACAATAGGCCATATAAGGCAAATGCCAAGTACAACTAATCAGATTTTTTTATGTCATTTCCATTTCTTTGGCTAAAAATGTAACAGCACACGTGGTGGGGTGGGACATTCTGAACCAAGTGTGGTCCAGAGTGCTGCCTAGTTCTAGACTTTTTAATTGTTCAAATAAACTTTGTTAAATTTAACTCCTTTAAGTTTTTTCTTTAACAACAGATTAATCGACAGGATCATTTATTTCAATTTAAGGTTGGAGAAATCACCAAACCAAAACCCTTAGAAAATTAGAAAGAAATTTATAAGAATGACAGAGTAGTTTTGGAGTCACAAGTACTCTTGTTAAGGCATCAAACATTAACTTGTCAAAAACTTCTTGCTGTCTTTGAATAGAAACTACTGAATTTGCAAAGCTAAATGCTTTCTTCAGTTACTGAAAAAAATGAAACTGTGTGTAGTCAAGTAGGAAAGGGTGATAAACCCTGATATTCTTTGACAATCATCAGAATTATGCTGTCAATACTAAAGTTATTAAAAGTGCATGGATTTATATAAATAGGTTGCATATCACTAGGACACTGTATTGGCACACCATATATTTGGTTTAAAACTGAAAAATGATATTTGATAAAACTTTCCCTTATAATGATGTTATGCATACTCAAAAGAATGAAATGTACAATGTTTGAGTTGGTGGTCTACAAGGTCTATAATGAATACTGAATTTGTAAATATGGAACCATTGCTCCTAGGGGAAATACAGGTTAGGTTCCTGTGAGCTTCTGGTTACCATATTTTCATCAGCTGATCAATACATAAATTTGCTTTATGTGCATTTATTTCTCTCTACAAACACAATGTATACTGTTGATTCATTGACACTGTACTATGGCCAATAGCACTATAACTCAAAGCCTGTAAAAAGCTTACTTGAACACACAGACTTTCTCTGTAAGGCCCATGACAACATTTTGCACTTGGGAGCAGTAGGCAGCACTGGAACCCTAGGATACTTTACTCAATGATATCACCAACAGAAAATTGGGGGAAATGTAGCACTAAATAGATCATGAAAAGGACAGTTATTTCCAGTATGAAAGCTGAAACAAAAAGGCAGAGTATTACCTTGTTCAACCTCACCTTGATACTCAATTTTTTTGCCACTATGTGCATTTCTGTGAATGACCGCAAAAGTGCTGTGATTGTTACTTTGAGAGTTACAAATAAATTTTAGTAAGCAGGAAAATTAGAAATGCAGAATCCATGAATATTAAGGATGGGCAGAATTTTGTCTTTGGCTAGGAAAAATTCCAAAGTCATCTGACAAAGGATGTGGGAAAAGGTAGGGTTAAAGGAGTCAATGATGCCAAATTTTGGGCTCCATTTGAGATTAATGACTTAATTTCAGATTTTCAGATTTCCTAGGTGTTTGTATGCCCATTTAAATCTGAGAAATACTTCCCTTCATACCATGATAGATGCATTCATGCCAGGTTGGAAGTTAAACTGTAGGAAGATTAGAGGCCTGGTACATTTGTAACATTTTTGTGGGTAAAAGTTTGGGGCATGCTAAAACAACCTAAAGTGAATGATGCGCTGTTTGCGTCTTGCAATACCTACTGATAGAAAAGAAGCAGAATAGTTGGCAGGTCTCCTAGACTTTTGGAGATAGCACATACCATGCTTGCAAAGGCAGTCGCAATATATTTTTTAGGTGGAATGGAAGGATGCCAGTTTGAGAGGGCATCCTTCTGAATAAGAATCCATGCTGGAATAAAAGGTTCCTTTGTATTTGACCCTGGCTCAGTAGATTCAATGAAGTTAGAGTTGTCTATGATCAATAAGGATGTTGTGTGGAGTATTAGTCAAGTCATACAGGAGAGTCACAGCGTAGAACTTCAGGGATCTGGAGCAAGGGCATTCCAAGCAGCAATCTATTAAAAATTAGGCCCTGGCATATCTCTGGACTCTAGTAAAGACTGAAAGCCTGGCCCTGCATCTCAAGTGATTTTGTAACTACAGCTGCCTATCATGAGCTGAGCATTGCCAGATTTACTAAATCATAATGTTGGGTGGATATAGCAGCAATTCTCCAGATAGAGAAGAAGAAAGACGAGTCAAGGAATTGGAATTGCCTGAGTCAAAAGAACATGGATGGGAGAGCTGAACGTTCCCTAAGAAAAGCAGCATAACCATCTTTTTCCTACTCCCTAAACACTGTCACCCTAAATTCCCACCCTTGAGATAGAGTAATAATAGGTATTTTATTTCATGTCAAAATTGTGGAGTAATGATTGATCACTCCTGCTCATCAATGGGATAACCCCTCAAAACAGTATCTCCATCTGTGTCTTCCTCTCCATCTCCATGACTACTGCCTCAATTCTCTTCAGCATTTCTCTCTTGCAGTTTTCCCATATTGTTGACAAATGATGGTTCTGCATAGCTGATCATACTATTCTTTACTAAAAAAGATTTTTTTGTGTGGTGTTGGGGATCTAACCTAAGGCCTCATGCATGCTAGATAAAAGCTTTACCACTGAACTACTTCTTCAGTGCCATTCTTGTGTGTCAGACTTTGAGTTAAGTCCTGGGGAAACAAGGCAAAGCTCAGATGCTCCCTTTATCTGGGCTACCCCTGCTTATGTCTCTCGCATCACCTATAACCTGCCACAATTCACTTTCCCTTGTTCAGAGGACCTTCCTCTCTGCCTGCCTACTGTCTATTATCTCTTAAGGGTCCCGACGCGGAATCCGCTTTCTCCAAGAAGCCTTCTGGACATCCCTCTCCCTTCTCCTTTAGCTACATGTCTCTACTTGTAGGTCTAGCACACCGCAGGGTACCACTACCATGGACATATCACATTTTATTATGACTCTTCTCTTTTCCACCTCCTCTACAGTAAACAGCTTTGTGTCCCAACGCTTAGTACAACATCTGACTCGTTGTAGGTACTCTACATTTTTTGTCAAGCGGAACTAAATATACATATCTATCTCTCATTTCGCAATAGCAGACAAGGCAAACGCATCACTTCTGCACCCTCCCAAAGGAGCAAAGGGCCATGATTCCAAGGAGTCATGCTCTGCCCTTGTTACCTTTTGACGGCTTAGCGACTTGGTCCCTCCCTTGTAGACTAGGATTTAGCGAAGCGCCCCCTAGTGCCTCTGGTTTACACTGCAAGAAAGGGAGGGCGCCCTCAAGCATGCGGTCCCGGGCCAGCACGTGGCGCATGCGTAGTACGCGAGCGCTCAGCTTGGTTAGGAAGAGTCCAAAAATAAGAGGTACTCACTGCGGGTTCAGATTTTGTTTGTTTACCAAAATAAGGACATTGCTCCATTTTTCTCCTTTCTGAAGCATATTAACATAGAGCGCAAGACTTGAATTGTGTTTGTTTAGGGATCGATGAGGCGGCTATAGGACTGTGGAGTCCTTCGTTCTTCGGTACCCCCCTGCAAGGCGGAGGGTTGGGTGGGTCCAGGTCAAGGCGCGCGGGGGCGGAAGCGGCGGCGACGGCGGCGGCTGTCAGAGCTGGAGAGGGGCTGGGCGCAGCGGCCATGGAGGGTCAGCGCTGGCTGCCGCTGGAGGCCAATCCTGAGGTGAGCGCTGCGCGAGTCGGAGCCGGGGGCCGCGGGCAGGGGCAAAGGGGAGCATCTCGTCTGCGTGCGCGCCTCTAAGTCATGCTCTCTTGTTTCATTTCAGGTCACCAACCAGGTGAGTGAGGTGTCTGTCGCCCCGGACCCCGGAGTCCTTTCCGTCGTCTCGGCCGGCTTCTCTGCGGGCCGTCACCCTCACGCCCCCGAGGATTCTGGGATTTAACTCCGTGAGGTCCCTCGGGGTCGGGCCGGGCGGGTCCTCCTCTCCAGGACACCTGCCTGTCTCCTGGAGATGCCCCAGAAGCATCTGGCCCCTCCGCCGGCCGCGTCCCAGGGTCCCAGGTGGGGGGGACGCCCACTTCGTATCCTTGCCCCTCTGCTCTCTTGGCTTTGTCCTCAGATTCCATGATTGTCCTACCTCTGTTCCTCCTGGGTGACTAATTGGCCATCACTTCCTGACTCCGAGCTTTGTAAACTCGCCCACCCAGTCCTTGTAATTCCATCCACCGCCTGGGCTGTGAAATCACCTTCCAGTCATCTTCTCTTGCCGCATCGGGTCACTTCTCCCCGCCACGCCCCCCTTCTCTTCCAGTCCTTTAAAACTGGAAATTCAGTTGCTTTTTATGCCATCTAAAGCTTAAGTAAGTCCCCTCGCCCTTCTTTGCCACCTGCAACTTTTTTTTTTTTTTTTTTAAGATTGTTGTGGGTATTGGAGATTGGAGCTCCAGGAGGGAAGAGGGGAAGGGGACATCTTTCAGCCACTCGATTAAAAGCATAAGTGCTATGAGTTCTGAATTTTTGGTTTGCTCAGGTGTGTCTTGTCTTCTGTTTTTTCATTCTTAATAACTGGTTTATCTTTTACTGCCCGCTTAGTTTATCATATGATATACTCCTTCCTTTACTTTTAGTCTTCCTTCTCACGTGCTGGGATCTCAGCACTTGGGAGGCTGAGGCCCCTTGGCCTACATAGTGTGCACATGCCTCAAAAAAAAAAAAAAAAAAAAATTAGGGTTTGTTTTTCAAAGCTTGTAGCAAAGAAAGTTAAGTAGATAGGCTTTATCTTAATGTAAGCAGCAACCCCCTTTGTCTTCTTATTTAATTTTACTATATGCTTTTGAGATGACTGTTATCACAACTCTTATCTCCTTAGTACTTAAAAATGTACAAAATTTAAAAATGCAGCACTTGTCTTTTGGATTATTCTTATGGTATTGTTTCTTATGGATGTCAATTTTGTTTTGTTTTCAGCCCTTCAAAACTAGTTCTCATTTTTCCCCCAACACTTTTTGTTAAGAGAAGAATCTTAAAGACTGTAGAAATCAGTGTTTGCAATTTCTGGTTTAATGCTATGGGAAAGAAGCGTATTTCTTTCAGATAGAATCCAAAATTATTTCTGCGCCTTTGTGAAAAATCAATTTACCATATATGTGGACTCCTTTCTATTCAATTGAACTATGTGTCTGTTAATTAACCAGAAACCAACTGTTTTATTACTGCAGTTTTATAAGAAGTGTTCAAATCAAATAGTATGAATCCAACTTTGTTCTTTTTTTAAAATTGTTCAGGCTGTTCTAGTTTGCCTTTCCATGTAATTTTTAGAATCAGTTTATCAATTTCTATAGAAAGTCCTGCTGTGAATTAAATGGAGAACGTATCAAATCTATAGATAGATATAGATATATTTTTGGAGAAAATATCTTAACAGTGTTGAGTCTTGTAATCCATAAAGGAGTTACATCTCATCGTTTACCTAGGTCTTTGATTTCATCAGTGTTGTACTTTTATCATGTAGTTCTTGGACATATTTTGTTAGATTTCTACCTATGTAGCTGATGATTTTGGGTGCTGTTGTAATTTGTACTGTTTTAAAATTTTCAGTTTTGAGTTGTCCATTGCTATATATAAAAATAGAACTGGTTTTTAATATGGTAACTTTGTGGCCTACTGCTTTGTTAAATTGGCCTATTAGTTCCAGGGCTCCTTCCCATTCTGTAGATGCTTTGGAGATTTTCTACATAGACAGGTGCTTTTTCTGTGAATAGAAAAGTATGCCTTTTTTCTTTTTTCTTCCCCTATTGCACTGGTTAGGACCTCAAATATGTAGCCGAATAGGATGGGAAGATTGAGATTTTTGTTATGAATCAATATTCAATTTTCCAAAGTGATTTTTCTAAATCTCTTGAGATGGTCACTTAAGGAAGAAATAATACCAAGTCCACATAAACGTAAATGAAGAGTGACACTAAAAAGCAAAACTTTTCAAGTGACATTTATTGTTTTAATGAAATATAAGCTCATGTAACTGGACGCTTATATTCTGTGATTCAGTTGTTGGACCTCATTCCTAGGTGATCTTGATAAACTATAAAACACATTCCCTTATTCACATTGATTAAATAATATTTTTGAGGGCAACTTTCATAATGCCACTTGTCTGCACAGGAAGTGGTTATGCTTTGGTCATTACAACATTTATGGTTTTCTGCTTTTTAATCCAGGGGGAAGACAGAAAGCAAACACAGAAGCAAATATATCATTTAGCAATTATTACAAGTACAATGAAAAAATTAAATAATGTTTTGTGCTGGAAACCTAATAGGTTGATAGTGACAGGAGGCCTTTCTGAGGTGACATAAACGGAAGATGTTATTTAGTACTAATTGTATGCTACACCTGGGATGCTTTCGTATGTTTCAGTTTTTAAACATTTTCTTAGCTGGACATGGTGGCACGTGCCTGTAAGCCCAGCACTAGAGAGCTGAGGCTGTACAATCGAGACTTCAAAGTTGGCCTGGGCTACATGGTGAGATAGTCTCTTAAATATTGTTTTCTTTATTGAAGAGATAATATGCTTTTAGTGGGAGAATGGGCAAGACTCTTAAGAAATGGTTAGTTTTATTTGTGACTGTTTCTTTATTCTTTATGTGTTTTATGCAGAACAGAGTAGAAAATGAGTAGAAATGTAACTAATGACTTATGATTTGGACAATTAGTAACAATGACATCTATCTCCAACTTTTCTCTTGTTGTTTTTGTACTTTTTTGTTTTTGAGACAGGGTTTCATTATGTAGCCCAGACTGGCCTGGAACTCAGTCTATAGTGAATGAGGCTTTGAATTCACGATCCTCCTGCCTCCACCTCTCCAGTGCTGGAATTACAGATGTGCATCACCATTCTCCGCCCATCTCTACATTTTATTTTCCCAACCTAATGGAATAATAAGATGGACTTGATCTTGATTTCACCCTATTACAGCTGATAGTTGCATGTTTTATTAACTCTTAGTTTGAACAATACTGTTTTATGCTGTAATAATGCTTGGGGTTGTTGCATATCTACTATATGCACATTAGAATTAATTGTCAAGCATCAGCTAACAACCTTGTGTCTCAATAGATGTGGTAAGCAATGATTTCTTTTATTGTTAGTATGCTGTCAACCTCTTTTAAGGTTATTCTACCATGCTACAAATAGGACTTACCATACTGTCATTAAAGAGACAGAAAAACTCATTAAAAGATTTAAGCTCTACATTATTTACATCTACACTTAAAGGGGCAAGACAACTTGCAGATGATGGAAAGTTACAGATAATTAAGCATCAAGAATTATAATGTTTTGGACTGATGGTATGACTCAAGTTGTAGAGTGCCTGCTTTATAAGCCTAAAGCCCTGAGTTCAAACCCCAGTCCAACAACAACAACAAAAAAGGCACAAGCCTATAATCCTAGCTCAGGAAGTGGAGTAAGAGTTTCTAGTTAGCAGATTCCCATCTTGGGAAAAAGCCCTCTTCTAGCTACCACCTTGCCTGTTTCCTTGCTTTCCTCAGAGAAGGCCCCTAGCTGCTGTTGTTGCCATCTCATTTCCCATTCTCCTCTGTATTCATGCTATCAAACTTTTGTCCATTCCATTATTTCATAGGAACTTCTTTTATTAGGTTTACTAATGACCACTATTTTGCCAGATCCTGTGGTCACTTTTCTGTTACTATGTTTCTTGACTTCTCAGCAGCATTTGGTAGAGTAGCCCACTCATCCCTGGAACACCATGCATTTTTTGGCTCCTCTGGTGATTCTGGTTTTCCTAATGTGCCAACTGTTTCCTACATTATCCTTTATTAGATCATGTCCACCTTCTATGGAGCGCCTCAGGCTTCTTCCTAGACTACAGATCTTTTCTATGTGCGTTCTCCCCCTGACGACATTTCTGTTATATAGCTTTCATTCCATCAGTCATCACATGGTTAACCCTATGTTCCCATAAATCCAAGCTTCTCCACCAAATTGGAAACTTATTTCTCTAACTACCTTTTTGATATCTCCATCTGGATGATGTAGAGCTACCAAAAAGAAAATGTGGCCTTTCATCCTCCTACTTCTTTTAAACACATTTCTTTCCCAGTCTTTCAAGACTACTGCCATCTGTCCAGTGCTCAAGTCCATGTCAGTGACTCTTCTCCCTGACTGTGCTATCTTGAAGAGGCTACCTATGTTGATTTGATTTCTTGGGTTAAAATCTCTGACCTGCCACGTACCAGTTCTGAGACTGTGGGGCAGTTTCCTAATCTTTTTGTACTTCCGTTTCTTAATTTTGCATATCTCCTAATTTTGTGTGATCATTGTAAGGATTAAATAAATTACTACATTTAAAATATGCAGAGTAATGTCTGGAACAAAGTATACACTCCATGAATCTGAGCTATTTTTGATCTTCCTCACTCATTCCTCAGATCCAAATTATCTGTAAGTCTTAATTGTTTTGTCTTTCAAAATCTATCCCAAACTTGAGGATTATCTTCTTGGTTTAAGTCACAATGTAAGCCACCACTCTCAAGTTGGACAACTGCAATTGCCTTACAACTAGTTCTACTTGTCCTTTTACTTTCCTAAAAATATATTCTCTCTATATGCCTCAATTGGTCTTACAAAAATACAAAAGACATCTTGTGATTATCTCCGTAAGACACTAGTGGAGTTCCACGCTTGTCCTTAGAATGCAAAGCAAGTTTCTTACATGGCCAGATGAAATGATACTGCCCATCTGCCCCTGCTCTGTTGCATTGTTGCAATGCTGAGTCTGTTTCAGCTTCAGAGTCTGCACTTGCTCATTCTTCACCTGAGTCATTCTACTATAGCTTGTTTTATGACTGGTTCTTTTTTTGTCATCAGTGGCTCAATTTCATGTTAACTCCTTAGTGAGTCTCTCCTTGATGACAAATCTGTGCTACTATCATCTCTGTCTTGCTTTCTTTGTTTTTTCTTTATTTTTTTCTTTTCAAAATAGGGTCCTGCTACTTAATCCAGGCTAGCCTTGAACTCAAGATCCACCAGCCTCTGCCTCCCAAGTGGTGGGATTACAGGTGTCTACCACCACACCTAGCTATTTTTTTCATATTACTTACGATTTTGGGAAATTATCTTGTTTGCTTATGTGTTTATTTGTTTTACTTTTTTACCACTAGAATGTAAAGTTCTGTGACAGTAGGAATGTGTGTGGCATACCAAAAGTGGTTTCTGGCCAGTAAGTGGCTGTCAACAGTTATTGAAAGATAGAACTTAGAAAGCTGTTTTTGTTGCTCTAGAGAACCTTTATTAGAATTATCTTTAATGTGGTTATGAATCTTTGTCCTGAATACTTCAGTGAGCAGTATTCTATATCATAAGGTGGTTAATTTTTATCATAACAATGACAATCATATATGATTAGAAGAATAGTACTTATTTTTACTGGAACAAAATCTGCTTTCTCACAACTTATCCAGTTGTTCATCTGTCCTCCCATTACTCAGAGTAAATCTAATTTCTGTTCCTTGATGTTACTAAAAATATCTGGGGCCAAGGATCATAATAATTTACGTTTTCTCTGAACTTGCCTGTAATCTTCAGCTCTTATGTCTTCCAAAATCTAATCATTCCTGATCACCTTTTAGGCCCCTCTTTTCTTTGTCACTGGTCTTTATAAATTAATGCCATCCAATTTGGGCATGGGGCATGGGCCTATAATCCAAGCCCTAGGGAGGATGAAATGGGAGAATCAAAAGTTTGAGGCCAGGCTGAGCTGTAGTGAAACTCTCTACAAAAAGAGGCAGGGGAGGGGGGAGGGGGAGGGGGAATATGGGGGAGGAGGCCTTCTAAAGCTGATAGAATCCATGCTGAGTCATCTTTCTTTGTTGAGTACAGTGGGCTGTTACTACATTATCTTGAGTGATACACTTTGAAACCAAACTAGCATTGCCTCACCTTTGTTTATAATTTGTAGTTGGTCCATACTGAGCATGCAGTAAATATCCCTTTTTCTTAATTTCTACAAAAAATGTCTTCAATGTTTCTCCATTTTGGACTTAGATAATATAGTTTTTGTTTGTCTTAGTTTTTACTTGGCCTTTTAAAACTGATTTTTGCTAGTTTCCAAGTCACAATTTCTCTTTAATTATTAGTTATTTTCTTAGATCTACACCTAGCAATTACTACTAGTATATTCTTAATGGTAGTAATGTGAAGCAATTACTAGATAAGTATAATTTCTGTCATAATTCATATCATTAAGAATTAGTAACAAAACAGACCATTAAAGGCCAGAGAGGAGCTGGGGGCTTAGCTCAGTGGTGTAGAGTACACACTTAGAATGTGTGAGGCCCTTGGTTCAATACCTAGCATGGGTTATGTGTACACACACACAAAACAAAAAAGAGAACATAACTTTAGACTTTAGGAGAAAGTTGAAAGGAAAGTGAATTTTTCCTTTTTCTCAGTTTTTACTTCGTTTTACTTGCTATTATTACTATTTTTTTTTTTTTTTGAGACAGGGTTTGGCTATGTAGCACAGCTTGGACTGGTACTGGTGATCTTCTTAGCCTCCCCGAGTGCTAGGATTACAGGTTGCCCCACCACACCCAGTGTTTTGTTTTATTTATTTATTTTTGGCAATACTGGGGTTTGAACTCAGGCCTTGCACTTGCTTGCACTTGTCACCACTGAGCCACACTCCCCAGCCCTTTTCTCCCCCCACCTTTTTTTCAGATAAGATCTTACATTTTTGCTTGGGCTGTACTCAGAGTGCAATCCTTCCACATTTGTTCTACCTGGAATTTCAGGCATCTAAAAATTCTTTTATGGTCACATATTTATGAATTATATTTCTCAATTGGCCAATATTTTAGAGACATTATGAAAATTTAGTGAACTCATCAATTTTTTTGCTACTTTGTCACCCTCTGTTTAAACTAGAAAAGCCAGAAGGCTGGCATTAAAGGTTATAAAACCCCCCTTCCTGCTTGCTTCTGTTTGTGTAGAGATGGTTTTATAAGTGCATATTTAAACAGTTTTCTTTGTGAAAGATTTTTGGGGGTACTGTATATTTTTAAGACTTTTATAAGTTTAAATAAAACCTGTCCTTACAGATTTATAAATTACAAATTACATATAACTATTGTAAAAGTAACACCTTTTTAAAATATGAGAAAAACAACTGAGCGCCAATGACTCATGACTGTAATCCTAGCTGTTTGGGAGGGTGAGGTGGAGGGATGGCAGTTCGGTGCCAGCCCTGGTAAAAAGTTCAAGAGACCCCCATCTTCAAAATAACCAGAGCAAAACGGACTGGAGGTATGGTTCAAGTGGTAGAGCGCCTGCTTTGCAAGCGAGAAGCTCTGAGTTCAAACTCCAGTCCCATTAGTTTATTGGTTGAGATGGGGTCTACTAACTTTGCCTGAGCTGTCCTTGAACTGTAATCCTCTTCATCCTCTGCCTCCCGAATAGCTTGGCTTACTGGTGTGGTCCACTGTGCCCAGCCTCACTGATGCATTTTTAAATATGATTTTGTTTCCTCTATTCCTGTTTATTTCCTATCATCTCAAACTTCATTTATGATGGTATACTTTTTAAAAAATCATCTGCTTCTTTCAATACAGAATTAAGATCTTACTATGAAATTAGCATTATTCTTGTTATTTTTTCTTTCTCATTATGAGATAGTAAGATGTGACATTTTTGTCTTCCAATGAAAACATAAGAGTTTTAAAAGCCACTAATATGTCTGTGACAGTTGATTTGCCAGATGTAATTGAGGCAGTGAAGTTGAGTAGGTTTCTTCATGTACTCGAGGTCAGAAGGTCAGCTGTGTGCTGCATCAAGCATTTTCTGGTGTTCACATAAGTCACTTGGGGTTGTTTTGACTTGCTTATTCATTGAGATAATAATTAGCTATCATTAAACTTCAGACATTAGTTTTGGTTAACAGGATAAACTATGTAAATAAAACCTGTTAAAATAATTCCAGCCCTTGATGTGTCAAGTGCTGGAGTATACAGCCAAGTCAACTTGTATGTATTTGGTGAAGTCCTGGCTTATGCAAAGGAATAGGTTTTGTAAAAAAGAGTTTGCTGCATATATTATGAATGTTTTAAATGTTTGTTATGTGATAACAATTGCTGTCTCTTCCTACCCTGTTCATGGCAAATCTGCTTTACCGCATTCTCCTCCCCCCCCTCAATTTATTATGATCTACTCGACATAGTTATATGTATTTATGGCACAAAACCTGATGATTTGTTGGTTTTTTTTTTTTCCCCAGTACTGGGGTTTGAACTCAGGGTCTCATGCTTGATAGGCAGGCACTCTACCACTTGAGCCACTCCACCAGTCCATAAACCTGATGTTTTGATATATGCTGCCTTTCTGCATCCTTACTAGACATCAGCAATATTTATATTAGTATTATATTCCTTTTTTTTTTTTTGGTGGGACTGGGGGTTGAATTCAGGGCTTCATACTTACAAATCAAGCACTCTACTGCTTGAGCACACCTCTGGTCCATTTTGCTCTGGTTATTTTGGAGATGGGGTTTTATGAACTATTTGCCTGGTCTGGCCTTGAACCTTGATTCTCCTGATCTCAGCCTCCCAAGTAGGTAGGATTACAGATGTGAGCTACCTACGCCCACCTTTGTATTATGTTCCCTTTTATGTATTAGATACATAGTACATAGTTGTTGATGATTTCCCTGTTAACAGCATCCTGGGCTGGCAGAGTGGCTTAAGTGGTTGCGTGCCTGTCTAGCAAGCGTGAGGCCCTGAGTTCAAACCCCACAACCACCAAAAAACAAAAACACCATCCTTGTTTTCTTTTATCATGTAATATTTTACTGTTTCCTCTTTTCTTAGTTTCTCAAACAATTAGGTCTGCATCCTAACTGGCAATTTGTTGATGTGTATGGGATGGATCCTGAGCTCCTTAGCATGGTACCAAGACCTGTGTGTGCAGTGTTGCTTCTCTTCCCTATTACAGAAAAGGTAATTGTCAAGTAAGATATGAAGTTTCCTATGAATATAAAGATTTTTGTTGAATTAATAATACAATCTTAAAGAACAAGTAATGTCCTTATTGCATACAATCAGGCTATCTAGGAAGTGCAGAAATCTTAAGAATATTTTATTAAAAGAAATGATGTTTAGATTTTTATCCATATACAGTAAATCCCTAGGTTAGTCTTTTAACCTCAGATAGTTTTATTTTTTTCTTTTCTAATAAAATATGATTTTGATGTGACATTTAATCACATTTTGATACATATATACTTAAGAAATTTTAAGGATTAGAATAACTTTAAATTTATTAGAAATTCTGTGAATAAATAATAACTATTAAAGTTTTCAATATATAAAATGTATAAACTTTATAGAATGTATTTATAAAAACAATATTTGATACATCGTAAGAACTTTTGTTAATGCCACAATTTACCACCACCCAGCACAACAATAAAAGAAAAATCTTTGCTTACTTTAAGGAGGTAGGGGAAACTGATGTCATAGGTTACACTATTTTCAAAATAAACTTGATTTGGGTGGGCTTCACTAAGCTAAAATACAGTTTAATTACATATTTAGGATGTGTTAGGGATTATAAATAACTATTCTTAGATCTCTCTTGAAATCCAAGTCTCCTCCCTATTTCCATCTCTTACATAGCTGAGATTATAGTGCCCGGCCTGGAGTTAGAACTTTTAAGTGTATTTTTTTAAACAACTTTTGAGTCTATCTCCTGATTTTTATTTTTAAGCTTAGAAACAATAGACTGAAATCAGTAATTTTAAAAAATGGAGAAGTAAGTGCTTGGGAAGATGTGGGAGAAAGATGTGCAGAAGTTGAATGTTTAGTTGTGAATGACAATGTTAACATACTAGTAGGAAAGGAACTGTCTTCATTCCCCTTTAAGTAAAGTCAGTGGAGTGCTTGAAGGTGTTCCTTGTAATAGTGCTTACCATCTAGTGAATCCTAGGTAAAGCCATTAACACTTACTTCTCTGTGACAGTTATGTCTCTATTCCTTGTGTTTTTTCCTTTGGTCTGTTATATTACTTTTCTCTGTCTCTCTTTTTTTTTTTTTTTTCCTATACTTTGTATGATTTTGGGTTTTTCTAAACTTTAAATCTTTAAAAGTGATCAAATCTTATTTTGCTTTGTCAGCAAGGAACATTAACTTTAAAGTTAGTTAAACAACCACAAACTAAACTAGAAGTGTATAATATTTTAATCTCAAGGGAGCAGTTTTTAAATTCTGATTTTTCTATGGGCATCATTTGATTTGTGTCCATGGGACCAGCAAGATTTTGATGTAAAGGACCAAATAATAAATATTTTTGCCTTTTTAGGCCTCAGATTCTCTTGTTTAATGTGTCTTGAAGTCAGCCATAGACAAGACAGAAATAAAATTTTACTTAATGAAAATAGGCAGGGGGTTGATTTGGTCACAGATCTGCAGTTGGCTTATCTTCACTCTGTTGGAAACTGAAAATTATAGGAACACAAAAAAACAAACAGTCATCTTTTTACTCTCCCCCTTTCTTTTCCTCACTCTTTTTAACCTCTTTATTATTTTTAAACTTATCATCAGGAAACAAAGGTATAGAGAGGAGACATTAAGTCATTTGCCAAAGTAACACAGTGAATAATGGCTAAACCAGGATGTGGGCCTAGATGGACAGCTGTAGGACCCATGCTTTTGGTATTTGTTATTATGTCAGATTGCTTTTATAACCAGCTATTATGGATAATGAAAAATGCTAGTATGAATATAAGTATAAATTTTACTAGTATGATTTTCAGGAAAGAAAACTATTTTTGCCAATGATAAACAATATAAAAAGATAAAAATTAGAAAGTGAAAGAATTCCAGTAATATCTTGGTCCAAGGGTAACCTCTGTTAAGTTTTTGTATACCTTTAAAGAGTTTTTAATGCATGTATAAAATAAGTATTTTTTAAACAGTGGAAATCACTTATATATGCTGACCTGTAGCCACTCTGTAATCTTAGTTAGAATATGTACATTTACTTTATTTATCATAACATGCTTTATAGTATTCTAGCTGACAGAGTGGCTCAAGTGGTAGAGTGCCTACCTAGCAAGCATGAGGTCCTGAGTTCAACCCCCATACCATCACAAAAGAAAAAAAGGCCTTATAGTGTTCATTAAGATATGTCATAATGTATAAACAATTTTCCTTTGATGGATATTCAGAATGTTTCAGTTTTATATTCTTAGAATACTGTGTGTGTGTGTGTATTGCTGAGGATTAACCACAGGATTTAATGTATGTTAAGCAAGCATTTTACTACTGAGCTACAGCTGCACCCCTAATTGTTTATTTTTAAGACTATATCTTAAACCAAATTCCTATAGAGAAAATTGCTTGTTGGAGAGTGCGAACATGTAAAATGTTAATGCATATTGTTTCATGCTCTCTAGCGTGGTTGTACAAATGTGTACTTTTAAAGATGGCATGTGAAGCTGGGTGTGGTGATATATGCAGCAATGCCAGCTACTTGGGCAGCTAAGGCAGGACGATCACTTGAGCCAGGAGTTTGAGACCAGCTGGGCTACGTAGTGAGACCATGATCTCAACATAGATGAACAAATACGTAAACAAATGAATAAAACAAATTAAAAATGGCATATGAGGATGTCTTTTCAACTGGATGTTACTATTTTTCAAGTTTTTGCCATTTTGGTAGGTGGTAAATTCTTATACTTTATATCTTATTTTAAAATAAGGCTTGTCATTTTCTGTTTTTTCCTTTACAAAGTTGAGTGCTTTTTTAATGTGTTGTTTTTCACATGTAGACTATTGACCTTTTTTGCTTTTTTTTTTTAATAGTATGAAGTATTCAGAACAGAAGAGGAAGAAAAAATAAAATCCCAGGGACAGGATGTTACCTCATCAGTATATTTCATGAAGCAAACCATCAGCAATGCCTGTGGAACAATTGGACTGATCCACGCTATTGCAAACAACAAAGACAAAATGAACTTTGGTAAATAATTTTTCTGTTGCTGCCATTTTCCCCCTTCAGGTATGTTAACTTCATTGAGCAGTAGAGGGTGCTCTAATAAAGCATTTCCCTCTCTTTCTTTTGTAATGGGAATGTATAATACTCTTAGAAGAAATACCAATCCCTTCCATTCTTTTATATTGTTGATAAACAGGCTTAGCAAATGAACATGACTTAAACCCTTTTATTTATCCCAAGATCCTTGTGTTCCTAACTTACCAGAAAAATAGTGTACGTCTTTTGCTTTGGTAAGTCTCATTGTGATATCAAGCCTAAACATTTTATTTGTTTTGATATTCTCAGAATCTGGGTCAACCTTGAAAAAATTCCTAGAGGAGTCTGTGTCAATGAGTCCTGAAGAACGAGCCAGATACCTGGAGAACTATGACGTCGGTACCTTCTTTCTGTCTTAATCATAGATGTGGGCAAAGCTTTGTAGGATTATAAATTCTGTTTGGCAGTTTGTCTTGAAACCATAGTTTTGGGAAATCATAGATTTTTATCATATCCGCTACAAAAGGCCTTTTGCACTTTTTTAGGTAACTTTATTTGAAGTATCCATAAATGTTGATAAACTGCCACTTCTTTTCTACATTCAGAGCTGAATGAGTTAGATAAAAATAGTTTGCAAAGTAATGAAACATCTTATGATCAACTATTCCTTACCATTCCCTCTCGATCATAAACGTATGCCAGGCAGTATCCTATGTGGCTTGCACTGGGAATTTGGAACAAAGCTGGAGATGAAAAAAACAAAGGCTTAAAGGTAGACATTAAACCACACTCTCCTATTTTCTCATTGGAACACCCAGGCCCTGTCATTTAGTTTTAAATGACTGCATTGCTTCATAAAAGTGTTTTAAAATGGTTCTTAAAAACTTACTGATTTTTTGCAATGAATTTTTCTTTTAAAGTTTTTTTGTCTTTTAAGGCAAAAAAAGATTGTAAATTCTTTGAAATTAAAAGCAGAAGAGTGTCCAAATTATTTGGCTAGAACAATACCTTGTACAGTTTGTATCCACAAAATTAATTGATTTGTCATGTTGTTTAGCATTCCAAAATATTTTTCAAAAGGAACTTGGAAATTTCATAAAATATCTTTATGTTACATAAAAATGAAATAAACTACATGAAAGTTACTGTTAACCCCACCAATGAAAGGTAGCTACCATTACTATTTTAATAGGGAATGTATATGTATATACACAATATTTTAAAACAAAAATTTGATCACACTGTAATACTGTTTTATAACTTGCTTTTTTCACTTAACTTATCACAAACGTATTACATACCAGTAAGTATATATTTGGCGTTATCATTTAATGGCTGCATAGCTTTCCATTATATAGTGTTTTATTTAACTAGTAAAATATTGTTACAAATTTAATAGCTTTCCCTATTCCTCAGTATTCAAAAAATACTGCAAGGTACATCACTGAAGCTAATCTTTGCAAATGTCTTTAATTTTATGTAATTATATACAAATACATGTAAATATATAAATTCTTAGAAGAGGAATTGCTGGATAGATTTGCATGTTTCTAAGGCTTTGATACTTACTGCCAACTACCATTCATAAAGGTTGTACTTTCACCTGTAATTTACTATTGTTCTCATTTCTCTGCATCTTTGCTAATAATGGTTATTATAAGAGCATTTTTTAAGTTCAGAAAACTAAATCCTATAGTTTCTGATAAATGCATGCTTTTTGCACTACATTTCTAAATTGGCGACTGAAAATGCATGATCAAGCGTAAATATAGACAGAGCTTCAGGGGAGCATGGAACTTGGAGACACAGATGAGATAAGCTTTGCAGTCTCTTATCTGTGAGATGCTTACTTTAGTCTCAAGTGAATAAAGTGTTAAGTGTTAACACTAACAGATAAGTTAAATGACCCGTACTGACCCTGCAGAAATTACAAATAGTGAGCTCTTCAGTTTTCCAAGTCTTCAGAGATTTGTGGGTAAGAAAGTAGAGCAGTTCATTTGGTTACCCAGACACCACTCTGAAATTTCTAGTATTAAATCATTCCTAAATGTCCTCCAATTTGATGTTTCATTTTAAGATTTAGGTGGTAAAATTTAGTCTTGTTGTTATTTCCATTTACAAGGTTGGATGTAGGTATTTTTTTCCTATTAATACCTTGTCTTCTTATTACAGGCTATTCGAGTTACTCACGAGACCAGTGCCCATGAAGGTCAAACAGAGGTATTTCACATTTTTCAAAATTTCTTGCTGTGTGTAAATTTAACTGTAGTGTTATTGTGTAGAACATATAGTTTCAGATTGTTTGACAATTTCCTTTGAGAGAATTTGTTTATGCCAAAGCAGTCATATAGTGATAACACAAGAAGTGTTTTGGCAAGCTGTTAACATGCTAGCTTAGTATCTTTCTTCCCAGTTTGATTATTTGGACAGATTGCAGATTGTTTGCTGATAGGTGGCCTGCTTCTTCCCTGTCAGATTCCTTTAAATTTATGTATCTTGAGAAAAAATATCCAGACAATTAGATAACCTGCATGATTTTCAAGTCTCTGTCAAGTCCAGCATTTAGCAGAAACCCTTATCATTCTCTTTGCTCAGAGAGTCTGGTCTAGGACAGTGTGATGATCTTCACTGTCTTTATGCTGTTAACTGGTTCTGCTGGGTTGCTTCTCCTCTCCTGCTTCTTGTCTCTTTTTTACTTTGTTGGTTTCTTATCCCCTCCTTCTGTTTCTTCTTTCCTTTTTTGTTTCTTTTCCCTTTACTCCAGCCCTCACTCTACCGTGTGTGTGTGTGTGTTGTGTGTGTGTGTGTGTGTGTGTTAGTTAAGACAAGGTCTGTCTATGTAGCTGAGGCTGGCCTTAAACCTATGATCCTCCCGCTTCTGGAGTTCTGAGATGAGAGGTGTGAGTGATGTGTGTCACCATACCTGGCCTTCATCGTTTTTTTTTTTTTGGCTTTCATTCTTTATTTATTTTTTATTTTTTGCAGTACTAGGGATTGAACTCCAGGCCTAGTGCCAAACTCCTGTCCTTTCGCTTTTAGTTTTATTTTCAGATAGGGTCTTGTGCTTTTGCTCCTAACTGGCCTCAGACCTTGACCCTTCTACCTCTACCTCCTAAATAGCTGAGATTATAGGCATGTGCCACCTTGCTTGACCTGGCCTTCACTTTTTTTTTGTGATACTGAAGTTTGAACTCAGGCCTTCTGTTTGCTAGGCAGGCCACTCTACAGCTTGAGGCATACTCCCAGCTATTTTTGCCATAGCTAGTTTTTGAATAGGGTCTTGCATTTATGCGTGGGCCAGCCTGGACTATAATCCTTCTATTTCTGCTTCCTGCCTAGCTGTGATGACAGGTGTGTGCCACTGAGCCCAGCTTTTATGGATTAAGATGGAGTCTTGCAAATTTTTTGCCCAGGCTGTCCTTGAATCTTGATCCTTCCCATCTCTAGGTCCTAATTAGTTAGGATTGCAGGTGTGGGCCACTGCACCCAATTTGGCTTCATTCTTGAAGGAAGTTTGTCAGAATGAATAAAATTTATGATTTTATTATTTTTTACTTTTTATGTATTTGAGAATTTGATAATACAGGGTCTATAAAGGCAGTACTTTAGACTGTCATGTCACAAGTATATATTTGCAATCAGCTGCCAAGAGAAATAGAGCTAAATGTAAGTAGCTTCCATAAGTAAATTGTAACAAACAAACAAAAACCCTGAGTAGAATTTAGTTAGAAATTCTAGACTATAATAAAAGTCAAAATGAATAGAATTTAGTAAAAGCCAGTTAGTGTGTTTATAGCACCCACCAGAGAATTACATACAGACTTTCCTTTTTCTTTTTCTTTTTAAGAGTAATTGAAAAATTACTTAGTTTAAAAATAGGGATTTTAAAATATACTGTCTTCAGAAAATTTTTAAGGAGAAAATAGTTTGATATCATGGTGTAACTGCAATTATTCTTAGCTTAAACTGGATGACTGGATGTTTATATTAAAAAAACTTAGGGATGGAAACATTGTCATTATAATTATATCATATCTTTTTGGTGCTCTCAGGTGCTGCTTTGAAAGGTGTGGAATAGTTGATTTTTTTTTTAAACTAAGTTTATATATGCACAAACACGTTAGTGGCAGCTTTGAAGTTAATTCAGTGCTCTGTTTTTCACATTGCTTTTTATAATCCTAATCATATTTGGGTTGAAGTTTTATAGTGTTAAAACTAGTAATGGTGAGGATCAATTTAAGATTATTATAAGATATGAAAGCAGTTACTCATCACAAAGCAATTAAATGCTTTAATACATACTAAGTTCAAAAATATTTGTCTTTGCAGTTCCTTCTTTTGCCTCATTTTTGGGTCTTCATTCAAATTACGGTTTTACCTGCCTCTTTCTGCAGAATACTCACATGTCTTTTTCCACTCAGCTTCTTCATTCTTCATAGTCTTGGATGCCTATTAGACATCTCTTGAATGACTTTCCATTGTTTTAGAGTGCATTTGTCCTTATTTGAACTTGTTATCTGTGACCTTCCACCATACATTTTCCTCACTTATAATTTATCACATACAGTGTGTTCAACATGTTTGGAAGATTATCTTCTTAGGCAAATTCTTAGTCTTATTCTAACTCTCATTAGTTTTTACACAGTTTTAGTGGGTTACATTTCCTGAAGTGTAATTTGAATCAGTTGGCTACTCAATTTTGTTTTCTTATTGCTTCGACAGTCACGGACCGACGCGAACTGCTTTGCGTCTATGGCCGTGACCGATTGCGCCCGGTAATGGTGAAGGTGCACGCTGCCATTCATCGGAGGCACTGTAAGTCTGATCGGAGGCCGATATTATGGTCAATTGGCATACGCTGTGCACGTCGATGCTCGATATATGGGATATTTCGAGGTGGGATATGAGATAGAGTTAGATTTTTCTGGAGGGCTTTTTATTAAAACTCATAGCTTTCCTCAAGATTAATTTGCTTCTACTTCCTTTTTCATTCTTCTGGAGTTGGGATCACTACGAGGGAAGCTTGTAATTCATGTATAATTCATAGCTAAAGTATATGGGTTTGAAAAAAATAGTTTGAGAACCATTCCTCAGTCCTGCACTGCCTTTGGAGTTCTCTTAACCCTATCCATTCTAACTTTTTAATCAGTGTTTCTCTGTAAATATTTCTCACTAGCAACTCCTTATTTTATTTATTGGTATTTTTTTTATTTTCTTAACTAGTACTTACTTTCTGGAAGTTTTTTCCCCAATCTCTATAGTTTTGAATTCTATTTGTCCTTCAGGAGTCAACTTAAATATGACCTTTTGCATGAAGCAGATCCTGATTATCTGACCTGGATATATTTTATCCCTTCTATGAACTCCTTCATGTGACTTCTCCAAGTATTTGCATTTTATCTGCTTTTTTTCATACTCTTTTTCATTTATTTTAAGAATCATTTTTGTTTTTAAGCATTTTAACAACTTGAAATTAGGATGTAATTGAGCTTGGTATTAATTCCATCTTAAGTGGTTACTGAAAATGATGCCTCTTTAATATAGTGCCTAGCTTGATAAATATGGAGTCATATCTATCTTACTGTGGCTCTTAAGCGTAGGCTTTGTGTTTTTGATTAATTTGCACATGCTTCAAATTATCCAGCACCATTCCTTACACATAGACACAGTGCACATTCATATTTGTTAATTCACTGGGATTAGGTCAGAACTGTCCTTGGTGGTATGAGGACTAAAAAAAGACTAAATCTTAGTTTTCTGAAGGTGCTTGAATAAATAAAACATATGCATTAGTCATTGTTTCTCAGTAGGGCACTGTTAACATTTTGGGAAGAGTTCAGGTTTTTGTTGTTTGGCGACATGTTTGGTGCATTCCAGGTGGACTTATAGTGGCCTCTAGTGGACAGTATGTTTGTTGGCTTCCAGTCACAGAGAAAAAAACCCACACCATAAATTTTCAAATCAATTTATCAGCCACCTTAAACCTCTGTACCAGGCACTGTTTTTCTGATCATCTGATGATCTCATTTTGGTTCATCTACCATCTGTGGATTTAGGAGTCTTTGACGTATTGCTTTCTCCATTGCTCTTTATATTCCTGAAATGTTTTTTTTTTTTTTTTTTTGTCTGTTCCTTAAACACCTAGGTCTTTCTTATCTGTTCTAGCCTTGTTGAGCTGCTATAAAAAAATACCATTGGTGGCTTAAACAAAGAAGCTTATTTTCTCACAGTTTTTGGAAGGCCTAGAAAGTCCAAAGATCAAGATGCCACGCACAGGGTTGTTTCCGTGAGGCATCCTTCCTTACTTATTGAAGCTACTTCTCATTCTGTCCCTATGTTGAACTTTCCTTTGTGTGGAGGGAGGGAAGAGAGAGAGAGAGAATGAGAGAGAGAGAAGAGTGAAGAGAGGTGTCCGTATGTGTGTGTAAGTAAGAGAGAGAGGGAGCGAGAGCACAGAAAGTGGTCTGCTATCTCTTCTTCTTAATAAAGAAACCTCCAGTCAAAAAAAAAAACTATTGGATTAAGACATTAATCCTTATAAGCCTGATCCAAATTCGGTAACACTGGAGATCAGGACTTCAATCAAGTCATAGCACCGTCTTTGTTCTTTTTCACAACCCAGTACCCTTCTGGGTATACTCCTTCTCTTCTTTCAGGGCCTACCTTAAAAGTCCATTTCTCAGAGAAGCCTTCTTTCATCACTTTTGAGTAGGTCCACTTGTCATATTTTATATCATAAAAGTCTGTTTTCTTTCTGGCCTATTTAAAATACTGCTTAATACCGTTATCGCTCTCTTAATAGAATGTATGTCTCATGAGGACATGGGCCTTGTTTGTCATGTTCACTTTGCATCCCTAGCAAACTGCTGAACATATATAGGCTTCAATAAGAAATTACATAGTATAAACCTGAGAACGTAGGATATAAACTTTAGCACTTATTAGCTTAAGCAAGATACTTTCCTTAGTATGAAATATAGACAGTACCAGCTACCTTTTGGGGTAACTATGAAGATTAATGAGTTAATCTTATAAACTGCTTATAATAGTTTTTGACATTTAATGGATGTTTAATAAATATTAGTTGGTAATTTTATTTTACTTGGCATTGAGGAAAATGGTTCTGAAAGGCAGATGAAAATGAAGCTAGATTTACAGGAGGCTTGAATTTTATGGGCAATGTGGAGCCACGAGAGATATGGTATGTTTAGTTTTCAGCA